GGGAAGGATGGGAAATGCCATCTTCTCGAAAACAACGTTTATTGGAAAAATGGGAATGGAAAAGGAGCCCCAAATCGGTGGGGAACTGGAGCTGGTTGCTGGCGGGGCTGGGCCTAGGAGAGGATTGCCTTGGCTCGCTTCTGGGCTTTGCGCTCCACCTGGGCACAGAACTTCTCGGGCATGCCGGTGGCTCTGCAGAGGAAAGAAGGCATCGGGCTCCCGATGGATGCGGGAGCGTGGCCCTGCAGCGGCTCCCGTTTGCTGAGGATGCCGAGGGAGCCGGGAGGGGGCCCAGGCTGGGCCAGCAGGAAGGATTCGGGGAGCGCAGGGAAGCGGCGGCAGCGGCAGCCCCTGACCTGAGCTCCTGCAGCTTCTGCTGCCCGAAGCGGGCGAGGCGCTGGCTGCGCTGCCGAGCCTCGTGCTGCTGCTGCCGGCCCTCCTCGATCAGAGCCTCCCGCTGCCGCTGCCGCTGCTGCTGGAGCTCCTGGATCTGCCTCCGCAGGTATTGGGCGTGAGCGCGCTGCCGGAGCTGCCGCTGCTCCCACTGCAGCTTCTCCCGCTCCAGCTGCTCCTGCTGGGCCCTGCGGGAGAGCCGCAGCTGCCCCAGGGGCCCTGGCCCAGCGCCTGGGCTGCCGCTGGAGCCCCCGCAGCCCCCGGCTGCAAGCGGGAGCGGCCCGGCCACGAGCTGAGCCGGGCCTCGGCCCCGTGTGCCTCACCTGAGCACCCTCTGGAACTCCTGGCGCTCCTGCTCCAGCTGCATGGCCACGTACTCTTCCTTCTGGGCCACCTGCTGCAGCCGCTCCTGCCTCAGCTGCTGCTCCAGCTCGGCCTTCTTGCGCGCCTTCTGCAGCTCCTGCCGCCGCCATTCCCGCTCGGCGGCCTCTTGGTTCCTCTTGGCCCTCAGAGCATCCTGCCCAAACAGGGGGCAGGGCTGGCCTTCCCCCCGGGCCGGCTCTGGCAGCCCCGGGCCGTGGCTCTGCCTCTGCCGCCACCGCTCCAGGACGTGCCCCGCAGCCGGGGGCTGCTCCTGCCGACCCCCCGCACCCGGGGCCGCTGCCCCTTGGCCGGGCCGGGGACAGCGACGGTGCCAGGGGAGCGTCACCCGTGCCTGGGCCACTCACCCGCTCTGCCAGCCAGTCCTGGGCCCGCTCCTGCGTCACCCTGAGCCGGGCCAGCTCCTTCTCCTTCTCCAGCCGCAGCCGTTCCTTCTCCGCCTCCAAGGCAGCATCGCGCTCCTACGGGGACAGAGCCCGGGGTGAGGGACAGAGCCCGGGGTGAGGGACAGAACCCGGAGTGAGGGACAGAACCCGGGGTGAGGGACAGAGCCAGGGGTGAGGGACAGAGCCAGGGGTGAGGGACAGAGCCCCAGGAGGGGACAGCCCCCCAGAGCAGCTCCTGCAGCCCCTGCCCAGCCCAGCAGGACCCCGCTGCTCTCACATCTTTCTGCCGCTGCTGCTCCAGCGCCCGCTCCTCGTCCAGCCTCTCCCGCTCCCGCTGCTCCTCCTGCAGCCTCTGGCTCTCCTCGTTGAATTGTTTAATCTCGGCATGGATTTGCTTTCGTCGCTCCTGTTCCTGCTGCCAGGCCTGGAAATGGCCCGCACGGTTGGAGGCCACGGGGCCGAGTGCTCCCTCCTCCTTGTCCTCGCCCAGGCTGGGGAGGCTTTGGGCCGCGTGCCGGGGCTGCCGCAGAGTCCCCAAGGGCGCAGAGCTGTGCTGCTGCTGCCTGCTGTCCCCATGGCCCGCGTGTGGCTGAGCCAGCCCTGGCGGAGCCTTTGCAGCCGCCTGGAAAGCTCCCTGCAGCCCCCTGTTCCCTGCTCCCACCTTGCGATCCTCCCTCTTCATCTGCTCCAGCCGCTCCAGGTGCCTCTGGCCCTCCTGGTACAGCTCCTCCTCCCTGAGCGCTCGCTGCTCTGCGTTCTGCTCCATCTGTTTGGCGATGTCCTGCCTGGCTCTGGCGACAGGAGAGCAGGAGGCTCCCTCTGGCCCCATCGCGCTCCCCGTGCTGGCAACGCCGGCACGGCCACGGCTGCTGGGCTTGGCACGGCCCGGGCGCCTCCGTGGGCAGCAGGGAGCCTCCTGCCCACCTCAGCAGCTCCCGCTTCCTTTGGCACTCCAGCTCCTCCTGCACCTCGCTGCCCTTCTCCCACTCCAGCAGCATCATCTTGTCCAGCCGCTTCTCCTCGTCCGCCAGTTCCTTGCGGATCGTGCGCTTCTCCAGGAGCTGCTTGTCCCAGATCATGTTGCACTTGGCTTCCAGGAACAGCTGTGGGGACGCGAGGCCTCTGTGGCTCGGAGCCGCTGCGGGACACGGGGAGCAGGGCCCGAGGCGAGGAGAGGAAGAGCCCGGCAGCACGAGGAGCAGGCCAGGCTCGGGCGGTGCCGGCCGGCAGCGGGGAGCGCTGGCCCTACCGTGTTCAGCGCCCGGATCTCTTCCTCCTGCTCCAGCCTCATCCTGGCCGCCCGCTGCAGCAGCTGCTGCTCCTCCTGCTGCAGCTCCTCTTGCACGTCTCTCCGCCGCTGCCTCTCGTCCTGCAGCTCTGCCTTTCTCTGCTCCTCGCTCTTGGCCTTTTGCAGGGCTTCCTGCGAGCACAGCGAGCGCTGCCCAACCCCGGCCGCCTTCCCGAGGGCTCGCAGGGCTCCCGCTGGAGCCGCCGCGCTCCCGGCACGGAGCGGGGACGGGACGGGCTCCAGGGGCCCCGGCCCGGCCGTGGGCCCCCCTTCGCACCCCTCTGGCCACACAGCCCGTGCCCGTGCGAGGCCGGCAGCGCCGGGCACAATCCCAGGGATGCTGCCCAGCTCTCCCTGGAGCCCCGAGCCCGGCAGCCTCCCCTGAGCCCCAAAGCACGGGGCACAAACGGGAGCCCCTGCGGGAAGCCACCAGCCCCGCACGGCGGAGCGGCCAAAGGGGCGAGCAGGAGGGGAGATGCCTACGAAAGCAGCGTCCTGTCTGGCTTTCAGGCTCTTCAGCCTGTCCCCGCGCTCCTCCTCGCTCGGGGCTCGAGCTGACTCCTTGATCCTCTCATAGTCCTTCTCGCCGATGATGAGACACGCTTCGGGTTTCTCCTGGGGAACGCTGGGGAGCACGGGGACAGAGCTGAGTGTCACCCAGAGCCCGAGGGCTCGCTGTGCTCCCTGAGCTGCCCGAGCCGCCCCCTCGGCCACCGAGGCAGCCCAGAGCAAGGCAGGAAGCGCTGGCGGAGCCGTGGGGACCCGGCTCTCCCGGCCTGGGGGGAGGCAGGAAGGGCAAGTGCGCTGAAAGCGGCACCAGGCTGGGGTGCGGGGGCAGCAGCCCCGGGCACACCGCCGATCCCCGCTGCCCGGAGATTTTGGGATGCTGCGGAGACACCCATTCGCCCAAAAGCCCTCAGGGCTCGGGCCCAGCCTTACACGAGTTCCCGGATCACGTCCTTGGTGATGATTGTGGTGGTTTTGGGTTTGTATGGGACGGAGGGCCGCAGTTCCGGGTGTTTTTGCACATCGCGGAGGATCACGATGGGATCACTGCTGGAGCCCGTGACCTGCGGCAAAGGGCGATGTGAGGCACCCGAAATCCCCACGCTCAGCGCTCCCCGGACTCCGCCGGCTCCCGGGAGGAGCTCTGGAGCCTCGGGGGCACGGCCGGAGGGGACAGAGGGGCCGGGGGCTCGGGGGAGAGCGGGATGGGGAGACCTTGGGAAGGAGCGGCTGCAATCCCGGGGGGGAGAGCGGCCGCCGGCGGGGGAGGAGGGACCCCCGGGAGGAGCGTCCGGGCCGGAGGGGCCGGGCTCCGGTGCCGGCAGTGGCGGCTGCCATGGAGCTTCAGGGAGCGGGGGACGTGCGACCGTGTCCTGGAGCCTCCTGACACCGTGTGACGGGGCCGGCCGTGCCGATGGCTCTGAACCCATTGTGACGGCGCGCCCGGAGCCGCTGTCGCGACACGTCGGGAGCGACTGTTGCCATGGCAACGCCATCAACAGCTCCCGACACTCAGGGGGTGACCTGGAACAGGTGGGGGGTGGGGACGGGGGGGTTGGTGCGGAACCCCCCAGGGCTGGGAAGGGCAAATCCAAGGGAGGGCGGGGATGGAGTTGCGGCAGCCAAGAAGAGCCCGAGGCTGCGAGAGGAAGAGCCCTGCAGGGAGCAAGGAGGGGCACGAGGGGCTCCGGAGATTCCCCGGCAGCCCGTGGGGGTCCCCGGGGAGCAGAGACCCCCCTGCAGCCCTGCAGGAGCCCCCGGCCCAGCAGGGGATGCCCACAGGGGGCTGTGAGCCCGAGGGAAGCCCCCGCTGGCGCAGTTGCCGAGGGCGGATGGAGTTTCTCAGATGTCTTTCACTTCTCCCTTTGCAGATTTTCATGCAGAAGAAATTCTCTTCGTTTCCCCAAGTCCCTTCAGCCCCTGCTGCTGCTCTGAGCCCTCCGTGCCCTTCTGCCAAGGCAGGAGCCTTTTGTTCTCCTGGCTGTGCAGGTGAGGAGGGCAGGGATGGAGCAGCTCTGGGGACACCTGCAATCCAGCCAGCCTCACTGCCCACAGCCCCAGCACAGCCCCAGGACAAAGCCCCTGCTCGACATTGCCCCACTTTTCCCTCGCTGCCGGTGCCCACAGCCCGATCCCAAACGTTCTTGCCGGCAGCTCGCAAAGGGCTGCAGGTTCTGCTGGAGGAGGAGGGTCCCGCTCAGGCTCTGGAGCAGATCCCTGGGGGGTGACCTGGCTGGGGATGGGGGTCAGGGCCAGCTTTGGGGGGTCCCTGGGGCTCATTGCCAGGCCTGGCTGGGCTGGGGGTCTCAGCGATCCACGGGCATCGCCACCAGGGCCGGGGGGGGGCATCAGGTTCTGGGGGTCCACGTGTGCCATCAGCAGGGACCTCAGTGGTCCTGGGGGTCCAAGAGACTCATGGTCATTCCCGGGGGGGGCAGGGGTTTGGGGGCCCACAGACAACACCAGCAGGGGCTCAGGGCTCGGGGGGCTCAGGGGTCTCACTGCCAGGACCAAGGGGTTCATAGGGATCAGGAGCCCGACAGAGCTGAACAAACACCATTTCTAGCGCTTTAAGCAAAAAGCTGCATTTTGCTGCCAGTCCGGGGCTCCCCTGGCACTGGTGGGGAGCCGGGGCTGGACTGGGAGCACTGGGATTGCAGAGCCACAGGGCTGCTGGGGACGGATGGAATGGGAAACGCCTGGATATACTGGGAGCAATGGAGAGGCACTGGGAGGAGAAGCAGGGAGCCCCTGGGGGTCCGGGGATGTGGAACGGGGCAGTGGGAAAGGGGTGGGGAAGCCCTTGGGGGTTCAGGGGGCGTGGGGAACCTCACAGGTGACCCCCCACACTTGTGCCCGCCTCCCCGTGAATGTTGGGCACCCCACAGCAGTGGGGAGGGGGACACTGACGTGGGTGGGGGGTCCCCCGCTGCCCCCCCGTTCCCCCAGAGCCCCCTCGGTGTCACAGCACGTCCCCGTCGATGTCACCGCGTTGCCGGGGTCGGCCGTGGGGTGGCCGCAGCTCCGCGTAGATCACCCGGGGGTCCTGGAGCGTGGGGGCGCGGGGGGAGCCTGCGAGAGCCCCCGGCTGTGGGCTCCGGGTGGGGGCGGCAGCGATGGGTGACGTGTCCCGGTGTCCCAGGCCTGTGTCACCCCCTGCCCGCTGGGTGCTCAGCACGCGGCTGTACAGCACCTCCCCCTCCTCCGGGGGGGCCGGGGGGGCCCTGCGGGGATCCAGGGGGTGTGAGGGAGCTTTGGGGCTGAAAGGGGAGGGGGTGGTTTGAGCCCCCCGCTCACCTCTCCTGCTGCTTCCTGGCAGCTGCAAAGGCAAGAGGGGAGGGGTAACTGAGGGCTCCCGGGGGTCCCTCAGGGCTCCTGGAACCCCACTGGAGCCCACATTTCTCCCTGAGCATCCCTGCTGCCCCCCAGGACCCCTGAACCACCCCGGTGCTCCGGACCCCCCGAGCCCCCTGAAGGCCAAGCCTGGCCTCCAAAATCCCCCAGGATCACCGAAAGAAGCCCCCAAAGCCCAGCGAGACCCCCCAACACCTCCCCAAATCCTTGAGAACGCCGAGCAAAGGTGCTGAGCGCTCAGCGCTGCCCAAATCAGGGGCTCTGGCTGCTGCCCCATCACCCCCACGTCCCAGGTGGGCTCGCAGCTCCCCAGGACCCCCGTTGTCCCCATTGTCACCCACCCACGTTGTTCCAGCGGCGCCAGCCCGCAGCTACAGCCAGGAGCAGGAGCAGCAAGAGCAGGGACCCCCCAACCGCTGCGGCCACTGCTGGGGACAAAGGGGACACTTTGGGGCCACCCGGGGCTGCTTCTCCCCCACAGCGACCCCGAGTGATGCCAGCCGTGCCCTGTCACCTCGGTGTCACCTCCAGGGACAAACGCGGCTGTCCCGGACCCCCCCAGTGACGTCACCGGTGTCCCCGTGTCCCCCCGCTGTCACCTCCAGGGACAAACGCGGCTGTCCCGGAGCCCCAGAGTGTCCCCGAGTGATGCCAGCCGTGCCCTGTCACCTCGGTGTCACCTCCAGGGACAAACGCGGCTGTCCCGGAGCCCCAGAGTGTCCCCGAGTGACGTCACCGGTGTCCCCGTGTCCCCCCGCTGTCACCTCCAGGGACAAACGCGGCTGTCCCAGACCCCCAGAGTGTCCCCGAGTGACGTCACCGGTGTCCCCGTGTCCCCCCGCTGTCACCTCCAGGAGCAGCTCGGGGCTGAGTGCCCGGAACACGCG